AGACCGCCTCGTAGCACGATTACTCGTAGTACGGGGTCTCGCTGCTCTTGGTCTGGCTGCTCCCCTTTGGCCTTCCTGGCATGGTTGCACCTTGTGGAACGAAGTTCCAGCCAGTGTAGCCCGCAGGATCGTTGCAGCACTGAAGCCCGACCACCACGTCAAGGTGGCAGCTTTAGGTCGGGTCAGAGATATACTGCTTTGACACGACAGGTGTCTCCAATTAGCTAACGGGACCAGAGCCCTACGGATGTGTGCATCTGTCACACTACAGTCAGAACTACTACAACTTCCAAGATGCGTAAAAGACTCCTCAACTTCGAGTGACTCTCTGGATTTAAGTGGCGTTTTTGCTGACTGCGTGTCCGGAGACATGACTTTACACATTCCCTAGGTGCAAAACTCATGCGAAGAAAGGGATGATTTCGGTAAGTTCATCCAAAAACAATAGCATCCTCTCCCCCTTTTCGAAGACGAGAACGATATCGTCTGTATATTCCAGATCGATAAGGTTTTCGTCAGAGGATGTTTGGGCACCGGGGTTTTGAAGATCTTCCATTGTTCGTCCCATTATCTCGTAGATCACGAAATTAGGTAAGAATGGAGAGAGTGGGGACCCCTGACGGACACCGCTGTGTACGAAAGGGTTTGGAGAGCTCTCAGCATACTCTCACACGCCTAGCAGTCTGAGAATATAGAGGACTTATGTTCACAAAATTTCGGAGCATTCCTTTATGAGCAAGCGTGTCAAGATGGCTCGGTGGTTAGAGCGCAAATTTAACTGACCGGAAGATTGATTATTTGAACCCGGCCTCTGCATCTCGACTTTCCCTATATAGGCTTAGGCAATCTAGCAGTAGCCCAGCCCTCCTGCTTCCTTCGGGTGGCTAGGCACCGAAAGGATGTTACAGCTGAGTGAAAAAGGGTTAATGAGAAAAGACCGGTCAACCAAGTCGAATGTACAATGTAAACCAGAGAATACTGAAACTGTGAGTCGTCTGTATGTTTGGCGTTGTTCTAGCACTTGATAGGATGTGAAGATATGGTCAACCCAACATCTACTAGGCCAAAATCTCACTTGGTATTCTCAAGTCAGTGTTTCACAAGCTATCATAAGGCGATAAAGCACGAGTGACGCCAACAATATCGTAACGACAAAGGTTAAGCTGATACCCTGTGGTTACTAAACTCACTATGAAGCACTTTTTTGGAAATGGACACTATCACCGACTGGTCCCAGACGTCTGGGACAGTCTTTTTACCTAAAATGTAGGCTGATTGAAGACTTCACCCCCATCTTTGAACAACAACGAGGAAAATAGTAGTGTTGTTCGGTTTCCGCTCTATATGGCAGCTAATTGATTGGGTGGACTGAGCATACTATCGTCCTTCTAATTAAAATGTGACGGATGATTCCATCGTTTGGATCATTAGGCGTCCATATTCTGGGATGTATTTATCTATCAGGAAACTTGTCTCTAGCTGCAGTGAACTCTTCAGGGGTACCTTCGGCTGCTATATAATATAAAACGCTTTAAAGCCTGCAGTGACTCTGCTCGCAGCAATATTGGTCGACGGTCAATATCCTCTCCACCCAACTCTACCCGTAGGTAGTCATATCAACTTTCTGCATGCGTGACTGTCATTCCCTCCATCCCCCTATCCTCGGTCGACGAAAATGTAGCAAAGGAAACCAACGAATTTTCGGACACTGTCTGTAGCTGATTAATTGAGTGTTCCAGAGGATACTACTGGTCTCTCTGCCGGTATTAAGCTTCACGTAAACGTAAGGCGAATGACCAAAAATAGGTAGGCTGTTTTCTGCCGTCCTAGAGTACAGTGAACCTAAGTCAGTTCAGTTCACTCTCGAGCCTAACACTGATCTATCCTGATTTTGTGAGCGGCGGCATTTAGCGGAGAAATAATCCACCACTCTGGCTTCAATCAGTTTTCATTCGTATCCCCTGACGTATGTTTGACTGTGAACGTCACAAAACCGAGGATAGAGCAACATCTGTCTTTCCCATGTAATGATAAGTGCACTGGTAAAGAATCGAATACTAACTGATTCACATCGTAGTAGAGATAGGGTGAAAGATTGCCTGGTGAACGAGAAATGAGTACAGACACCACAAACCGCTTCGTTAATTTTAGTGTTCTATCGGATAGATAACCTCAGCGGACAAACCAAACGGGTGATGTGATTTCTCATCTACGGTTGACTGGGTGCATGTGAAAATACACGAAAGCTTCCCAACAAAGTGAGTCCTCACAAGGAAAATAGCCTTGCTATTATCAGGCGTAACTTCAAGTATACGTCATCAATCCTTCTGCAATTTAACTCAAAGCCGGGGGTTTAAACTTTCACCAGATCGACCTAGAGTCACACAACCTTCAGGTTTTCCTGGGCGTTGCATAAAACGCGAGGACATAGAGATAGGCCGGGTACCTGTCTTGACTTACGAGCATCGTACGAACAGTGTCCAACGTCCAGCTGTTCAACCAGACTAGTCGACCACACGTACCACCCAAAAGTAGGCAGTTGACACCATGTCCTTCGCTGACTGTGGAATATGCCATGGGGATAGAAGGCCTAGTGCTGCTATTCTGACTAAGCATAGGTTCTCTTCGGGGTTCTTCATCAGTGATTTCTGCCATAAAATCGAGAAGTCGTGTGACGACCTGGGTTCCAGATGCACTGTACACTCCAATCCAACAAGCTTGTGGAAGAGAGTCAAATACGAAATGTATGGTTAACAACGGAACAATGCAAAACTTTGCCTAGCTTATACGACTAAACTGCAGTCGATCTGCATCATGTGACGAAACATTTGTGACCAAAATATGTCATAGTAAACGTTTTGCTTCCAAACTACAACTAAGTAACCAGGTTGATCTACACCGGGAGGAAGACTACCATGGTTGATTGCTGAAAGCAATGTCGCCTTTCCATGTTTGAAGGGTGAAAATGTGGTCGATGTATTATCCTCTTGCAAGACGGAACTTCAGTGGATGGTAGGATGCATGCGTGCGTGTCCGTTCACCAGTGCATCGGAGAACTGTTGTGTGACGCCTGGACATGTGATCAGATTTGTATATTACCTTTGCAAAGTAGACCTGTTTGGCCGCAAGTATACGATACATCCGTGTCCTTAAGTACGTGTTTCCCAAGTTACTTGAACTGGTACGGGTCTAATCAACCCATCACACCAAATGTCTATCGAGAAAACTTGAGGAACCAAAACGCCGAACGTGGGAATTGTTATTTACTTGCAAACGAAACTGCGGATTTGGTGGTCAAGGACAAACGGGGCAGTGTTCAATGAAGCTACAAGCAGATAAAACGTCCGACCTCTCACAATACAAAGTGAAGGGAATGTTTACATCAAACTTCTCCCTTCAGGAATGGAACAAGTTCGTGGATGTGTGACGTGGTGCTGTCAGAAGACGGGAGGACAATACGCCGCAAATTAGACCATGTCAGAATTAGAAAGGATGGACCAAATGTGAACCAACGCCTAAGCCGACTATACAGGTGGACTTCGCTCTGACGCAAGAGAGTTTAGAAGCTACTACAGGGTGCCTACGCCGACCATCACTGGAGTCAAAGCCAGTCGAACGTTACTAAGGGGGAGTTGGTTCAATCTATCGGTGGAGGACTCTAGTAGCTGGATGTCAGAGAATCTACATGCATGCGTGTCTATTCGTCAACACATCAGAGAACTGCTGTGTGATGCCTAGACATGTGATCAGAGTTGTAAGCTTACCTTTACAAAGTGGACCCTTTTGGTCTCATGCACATAATAAATCTGTGTCCTTACATATGTGCTTTCCAAGTTACTTTGAACTTACAATAGGAACCCAGCTTGTGTTTCATAGATCTGTCTCTCGTTGTGTTCAGTTAACCTTCGAAGGACAACGCCAGAGAGCATCTTCGATGACGCAGATATCAGGCTGGTACCACGGTGATTTTCGCACAGCGTTCGTGTACCCTTTTTGAACATACGAATAACTGTCGACATGCCCCAACATGCAAAAAATTTTCCCTTCGCTTCGTGTCACACCAAATTTTTTAGATAAGTAACCAGGGGTTCTCCGCCTCCTTTCAAAAGGGCTGGATACGGACCATCCAGACCTGGCATACTCAGGCTTCAGCACGAATATATTTCCATATTTTAATTCTTCTGACGGATGATTAAGATTTATATTCCATTCGCCCGTATACACTGTCTCCAGGGGCTGTTACAGGATGCCAGCTAAACTGCTCTTCGAAGTGTTTTTTACAGTCGGCGTTTTTGCGAGTGAATTAATGAGCCACCTTTTTCATTCATTATTTCACTGACCGTTGCTTTCATACGGTTCATCGTATTGGTTGGAATAGATCACGAATATTTCCGGTCGTAAAAGCCTTCTCCATCTCCAGAGTTTTTATTGTCCATCAAAGTCCTCGGTTTTTCCCTAGGCTGTTCACTATTTGGTGTTTGGGTGATTGGTGTGTGCCGTCGCAGTCATTGCCTACTGGTACGGAGCTCTTGGCATCAATCAGTGCTGGTAATCTCGACGATAACCAGTGATCAGTTGATCGTATCGGAGAAGTTGTACAGACAGCAATGAACGCCGCTATCATTGCATTTTTACATTTTGCAATGCTTCAACCATGCTTCGCTACCAGTGTAATAGCGTGCACTACTGATGGAGCATGCGAGTAGCCTATGGTCTAGTGTCCGAGCTCCGCTCCTGCATCTGACGGGAGATGAAGTTTATTACTGGAATTACGGAACCGCTTTGCAGTGTTCGTTTACTAATGTTTACTAGTCAATGAATGTCCAGAAAAGTTCAGGAGGACATGTGAAAATGTTCAGGTCTTTAGAAACTCTGGGCAGATGGGATGTTTACTCTCGTGTCTAACGCTAGTGCTTAAATGTAACGCTTAATTCGTGCTTGCTAATAAGTAAATTTGCAGCGAAGGGCTTCCCTTCTTTCATCAGGACAGTGCTCAGATCGATACTACTGAGCTAGTCTGCTGAACAGTCTTCCAATTATGTTAGATTGGCATGTTTCTCACTGACTTGCGAGGATCTGAAGAGAGGCGAACTGTCAAGCATGTTCGCACCATGGCGTAATCGGGACCTGCGGATACGCTGGATTCTGAACTGAAGTGCATTGCTCATGTGCTCAGAGCAAACGGTTATTCAGTCATTTATGGCCAAGAATATGTCTCCCTCCTATCCAGCCGTCTGTCACAACCGTTGTAAAGAAGCCAACCTATCCGAACCTACCGTATGAAGGCGATCTGTTGGCAGACACAGTCAATCGCCGATTATTTCAGTCCTTAAAACGCACGTTTCTGGCTGCAGCCGACCTGGTTGAAATTAAACCTCAGAGGCCTCACCTCCTCACCCAGAATACGTTGTGTATTCCTTCCCCTGGTGTCGTTCGGCGGAATATGGCGGGCATACGACACAACTTGCTAAGGGAATATGCGATCATTAATCTTGCCCAATAGATTCCCACTATCGATCCAACGGCTGTCTTGACTACAGCCGAAGCAGTCAAAATACGTTGGCGAAATCCGATGCTAGGCCATCAAAAATGATTCGTACGAGGGCTGAATCTCTCTTGATCATTGAGCATATTCGGCCCAACAAAACAATTGGACCGATTTTAGCAAATATACTGAAATTGAGATGCTAGATTTTGTGGACGCCCGTTTTGTTACCCAATTCCAACCGAATTCAAGCCAAGGGAACGGGACAAAACAATACTAGCAAATATACGATATGCTATAAACAGGAAGTATTAAATGTGTTCCACACTACCACAAAGTTTATCATGAGCTATCAGTTCGACATATCTATGGTTTCCGAATCGCCCCTTCTGTTGGCCCATTGATCTCATTTCTCCTGGTCCACAATCAGTAATGAAGTATTTAGATTTTCTCACTACGGGTCAGGCAAACAGCGTCAGTGGTTTTCATTACTCTGTACAGATGTACTGCATAGTTGATGGTGAGTTAGATTATTAAAAAAACATTATCAGAAACAGCCGCATACATCTAATCTATCGGACGCAAAATTCAGGGGAACAGCGAGGGAGTAGAGAGGGAAATACTAGAGCTGATGGAAGTGAAGTAAAAGACCCTACTCACCGTGCAAACCAGCTTCACTCCAGCAAGATACGGCCAAATCACCTGATGTAGGGCTGAAGCACAATCCATCAATTTGGCTATAGGCACAGCGATGCGCATAATGCTCACCATCTTTCTCAGTCGCTGTTCCTAATTGATATCCTGGTGGTGATCGACCCAAATGAACATCACTGCAGCCTTCATCGTTATCCTGTCCACCCAGTAGGATATCACGGACGTGTGTTTCAGGCAGGTACAATTCAGAATTTCCGAAAGTATTCAAACGACAAAGTAAAGTTAGTCTATGCGTGTCCCATAGACATAGTCCGCCCTCGTTGTCCCCACTAGCCAACAAACCATATTGTTGACATGCAGCCAAAGTTGTAATTTCTTTGCCCGCATGTCCAGTGAGCTGGCGCCACCCGGTCACTTCCCACAAACCAGCTTCGTTGCAAGTTTGGGTAGCATGTCCAGACGTTGTTTGTTGACTGCTGGTGCGCGGGTGAGATGCATCGCCAAACAAGTTGATACCGGTTTTTTGGAAGTCGTTTGCCAAACTTTCGGCGAAATCCTGCAGCATGTGAAACAAGTGAAGGAAGATTACCTCGCCGTTACCATGCTAACAACTGCAACACTCACGACTTCAAGAACAGGAAAGCCAACCACACCATCATTAGGCATGCTGCGGTGATTGGTTCTCCTGACGAAAAGCAGACCACGACGGTGGCCTTCAAGCACTTTCAAATTAAATGTTACGGGACGATCGTTCGAAATTCACAGACAGCCCACTACCGTCTTCACTTTGTTTGAAGCTCATCAGATTGGTGGAGGCCTTGGAAACAAAGAGAATCAATCCCTAAGCAGAAATTTGGTCGAGTTTTTTTTTATTCCTGAGTGGGTCACACACATTAGGAAATCCTGTAAGACGAAAAAACGCAAGTAGACATTCACATCAATGAACCTGGATTATCTCACTGCGGCTGCATTGGACTCAAGCACAAGTTATGAAATCAGAATGTTCACCAGCAGCACATTCAATCGAAGATGGACATCGGAAATGAGAGATTCAGCTGGATTCACTTGAGCTACTCCTTAGTGTCCAAAACGATTCGTGAAGTAACAATATTTTGTTCACAAAACGTAATAAAGTACTTTAGGATACCCTGGGCTTTTTTGTGATTGCATCTGCTTCCGCTACAGAGGGTTCCGAAGGCCGTACCACATTGGTTCATTGAAGCTGGTCGGCCCCGCTTGCTGACTGGTAAGAGTGAGTGCCCAGTATCCCGTTACTTAAGTTTGGGGAGTCTTAACAGAGGTTCCATTGTAAGTGAACGTCAATTCACGAATACCGAAGTAGCGAACGGAAAATGTTCAAAGTGAGGTTGGGGAACTTTCACTCAAACGGATAAGACAGCCGTTATACATTGGTTTTAAATCATCAGGGTAACGTTCGCGCTCAAACAGTCTACTCATAATCACAGATAGTTGGTGTTTTGCAATGGGTATTTTGCATAGTTTCAGATGGGTGTGGAGTGACTGTACGGAATGAAAAGAAGCAAAAGTATTGTGCTGATGACTAATCATCGTTTTGGTCCTACGTATAATCGATTGTGATGTTGACTTTTCGTTCACCAACCGATAACCGTTTTATATCGAGGGATGTGCTTTCAGCAATCTGCTAAGGTTGGATACAAGTCACAGTCAGTGACTTGTGTTTGTTCGCTATTTTGGGCTCTCCGCACTTTCATGCGTGGTACATGGAGTTGACTATTCATTCTAGCCATTGACTTTCATACACGACCCAGTATGGCGGATACTTTGTGTCTGTGAGAGTGCTGTCTGTGACTGTGCTCGCGCTTACTGCACCTTCCTTCTTTCTTTCTTCGTTTTTTACATGTGTTCCCATACCAAATATTCTTACGCACACTGGGAGTCATTTTGTCCGGATAGAACAATCGATGGCACGCCTTCAAATGGAAGGCGTTTTATCTAATACTCTCCTGTACACTTTTCCACATCAAGTTGTTTGTTTTTCATTTTTGTGGTCATATTCTTCAAAAATAAAAGATAAAAACAATAGTATTAATAATACAAATACAACTCCGTAATGATATCACTAAGTGGTTATTTCAAAATGCGCTGGGTATACAAAGAAACAGATAAGGTGCTATAAAAAACATTGGTGTCTGGATACTAATTTCTGATGTTCTAGAAACGGTCTGTCCCTACTATTACTGGGGCAAATAGTGTGCTCCAATCGGAATGAAAACAATGGCAGAAGTATTTGATTACCTTAGGGAACCAACCGTTGTTGGAAATCTCCGAAAGCTCCATAGGGCATCGCCGGACATACACCGACCCATTGGACGTTCCGACATACAATTGCATTCGTGTTCGAGAGGCCTGTGACACGGCTAACGCAGTGATCTTCGTACTTGGATTTACAGCAGGAAGAGTCAATATCACGTTTTCACCGGAGCTTTCAGAAGTTAGAAGATCCTTGACTCGTAAATGAAGTGTATGTTGATCCACTGGAGAACAGAACAACTTCACCAAGAACAAGCGCGCGCCGTCGTTTGTTATTCTTGATGTAAGCCAAATACGTGCAAGTCGTTCACATCCGAGAATAGACCATCGCCAGTGAAGCCTCGCCTCTTGTCCCTCCATTGGCGAATATTCATGGATATCATGCGTGGCAGATTGAAAGGTTTCATTAATCGGTGAGTGTGTGGTCTGCACGAAACCACCCCAGGCTTCTCTCAGTGTCTTCAAAGTGTACAGCAGTTCGGTGGGTGAATCAGTGTTATCAAACATCGCAGATGTGCAAGAACATGCTTCGGACCAGACAGCGGCACACAAATGACTAATTGAAGGCTCTGTGTGGAAGTGGCCGAACCTCGTTGCCTGATTGGGATTTTGAAATTGGCTGGCATTAACTTTCCATATAACTTGGAGCTAAAATAACGGATAAGAAATTTCGGTCAGCGGATTTTTGGACTTCTTGGACTATATATGTCACAACAACCGTATTCAACTAAGCTTGAGACCTATCGGCTACGGTGCATGGGGCGAAATTTACAGAGGTCTCACTATGTTTCGTTTTCAGCAAGTCTCTCTACCGTTTTCCTAACATGACGAAACGAAAAACACAGCGAGCTAATACTCACCTTGGGTGATTGTGGACTTCCTGCCCATTTCCCCCATCGCAAACCAATAACGGTTTCCAGAGGCGTGATCTCGAAAGGCTTTGATGACTTTTGAAGATATTCTGCGTCAGCTGATCTATCCAAATCGTCCCCATTTCCATGGGCCATGTTCTCAAAACGCTCCCTGCCGATAGGGTGCTGGTGGCACTCAATAGATGTACATGGGTCACACTCTACAGTGGGCGAAGTGATGATCTGATCAGCGTGCATCATCCCTAGAGTGAACCTGTTAAAATGACAGAGATATATTGTGTGGGAACGTCGTGGGTTGGGTGAAATATACGAAGCCATTCAGCTCGTTAAGAAAGCACCATGGTGAAACCAACGATGGTGAACTTCAAAAAGATTACCAAGGCGATCTTGTGAGGTTGAGAATTGGCGGGTTAAAACAACACCTGATCAATAGAATTCATCATCGTACCCCGCACCTATTTCTGTACCAAGAACAGCAGTCTTCAACGGAGCATCACCAACAGATGCGTTCTTTAACTGGCAGACGATAGCCACAATGTCATGTTCTTCATTATGGAGTCACAACAGCGCACAATGAAAATGCAGGAACGATTTAGCCTACCCAGTATTACCCAGGTGATCCGACGAACGTGCTCATGTTTCACGAACACTGAAATGGGGGAAGTTTCAGCTTCCAATTTGAGTGAATCGTTCGTTTAGCCGTAGCATCCGTTCGGCGCCAAACTGCTATGCCACCCGATGGTTGCACGGGGGCTGGGATACTGCCAGGTTACCCAAGCCCATAGACAGGGGAAGTCGAGAAGCAGAGATCGAGTTCGAACCACGGACCTTCCGGTCAGTAAATTCGCGCTCTAACCACCCAATCGAATCGTCAACTCGGGAATAAAGTGGAACACAGGGTCGAATGATTTCTGCCTATGACAGAACGCAGTTCAAACAAATAGCATTATAAGTAACCCATATGTTTGAACCTTGGTGAGTACATCTTAGAAGGATTCTCTGTATAACAAGATCGGTCGCAACAAACATCTGTATCGGTTCCGATATGTCTTTGTAATGGGACCAGGCTGCATACGTAATGCACGTTATCACGTTAGGCTAGAACATCTAGCTTGCTTTTGAGGTTAATTCTCGCATCATGGAGACAAAAGAATCACTGATAAAATCCACTTCAATATCACAGATAAGCAATCAACCTACCAATCCATCACATGCTTTACTGCAAACCAAGTCGTCATGGACGATGCAAAACTGTTAGCAAACATTCGCATTAGCTTTGGCACTAAAGTGCATGAACAGGACTATCATCACAAGGTAAAATTAGGCTGGACAAAAACACTGAGTGCGACCCCATAGTCACATCAACATTGCCTTTGTTCGAAGGATCCTCGCTCTCTTCAGCGACAACAGCATTTGTTTATTTTTATTATCTGTTAGTTTTCGCTAAAATGCCCTGGAAACCGCGATAGTACCTCACCCTCCCACAAGAATCTATCAAAATCTAGTGCAGTCACCGAACATACACAGACTTGCAACTCAGATTCGTCTAACGAAATGGACTCCACGTGAAGAGAATTGACAATCAAGTCTTGTGTAACGCAATATTAAATATTTGGACTTACCGACTTGGGTGCGGGTGACGTTTAAACAGCTGCTTCGGAGTTTGTCCATAATTGCTTATCATCGCTTCCACTGCTTGCGCTCGTATTGGATCCTGGATTTGATCCACATCAATTGCACCAAAATAGGTCTAGATGAGGGCACAGAGATAAAGAAACCACAATGTACTAGGGCGAAACAAGTAGCAGCTGACGCCTGAACGTCGAGGCGGTCTTGTAGAACAGTGCATCTCGTTTGCGTACGCTTGAGATCTCCTGATAATTTGGTAGTTTTTTCCTGATTGCCTGTTCTTAAGTTCGTCCTAATTTCGTCGCAATAGACGATACATCCTCCTTCCAAAAAGCAACACTCACTATATATCCGTTTAACGTCAGTTGTGGGTGCAAATAACATTAGACGCTGAACGAATTCGCATCAGGCTTTTCACTAAGCATGTAGGGGCTAGGCGATGTGGGGAGAATTAATATATTAATTCCACTTAAATTTACACCCCGAAAGCGCTTGAGACGCAAGACAAGCTCACTCCTTATCAGGGCATATTTTATATCACTTGCTAACGAAGTTAAACTTGATTCATACACGAGGAACGTCATCGAAGCTAAGAGGTTAGAATTAATGAATTGCTTCATAATAACAAGGAGGCCAGTTCCCGTTTCTAAAACGTTTGGTTAACAATCGGGGGATTTTTTGTTGGGCAACATTTTGCTTTTGATACAGAAACGTTTTCGGGCCAAATGAATAATTTTCCAAGTTGACCAACTTTCAACTCAGACGGGATGCCTTTCGACTGGTAGATCAAATCCGTATTGAATCACAGTCAAAAGTTTTTGCTGTTTATTGTAGGTGAATAGAGCTTACATTAGTGGGTTAATGGAAAGGTAACATCAATTTAAATCTGTTTTGGGATATTTCCCGGTTTAAGGCACTTTTGTTGAACATTCCTCTTGGTTGAAGTCCACAAACACTGTTGGTCTATGTGGATTAATAAGTGCGACAACAATTAAGTAAAGAGATAGAGATAGTGGCTTTTGGTTGGCTCGGGCTTCATGATTTAAACCCAAATATTTTCGAAGGAAGTAAAGTAAAGTAAAGCGCCCTACATTATCAGATAAGTATTCAACGCACAAAGTGGTGAAATAATTCGGTATAGGTTAAAAATAGCCTAAATGTCCATGAATGAGTGCCTTGTACAAGTAGAGATGCGAAGTTAATATGCAGGGTTTAGTATGGGATCACAGAAGTGCGGTAGGTGAAAGTTCTGACAGATAAATGTCCGTAACTGGAATGGGTGCTCGAACTGAACTTGGATTCAGTGAGTGTCTGCGAGAGAGGGTGAAACACATCAGAATTTGTTAAGTGAACGTGGGAGAAATATTAAAATGTTTGCTTAGTAAGGCGTTAGGTCAAAACATTCCCTGATATCCCAGTTCATTTAGAAGTGCTTTGGAGAGACCTGACAATAAGACAGTAATCCTTTTCAAGCGGTCCCGAAAAGTGAACCGAGAAACACGGGCATTAACAAAGCTGGCAATAGGCATCAGGAGATTGAAAAGTTCTCTCAGTCCCATAGCCGAAAAGCCTACATGTGGAACCCTAGTAAAAACCGTTTGATAGCTTCAACCGATCACTATTTTATCATCAGTGTGGAAAAAACAGGACGAAGGCTGAAATGATCAGTTAGGTGCTGTAAACATGCTGGAGGATGGTGACCATGTTACTCGGTAGAGTAATTATGTTGTCTGTTTGCGTCATTGATACGGGGCAGGCCAATCAAGAATTGCAGCGTTTGTTCGCCATAGATATGGGCAATCGCGTGACTGTGTTTGGGACTCTCTGCATTATTATGCTGGAATGAGTCTAGAGCGTAGCGGACTACAGAGGTGACGTTAATTCATTCTTCACCTGGGACGTTAGGCGCGCAGCTAGGACTGCAGCAGAGAGCTCTAGGGACTAGAGCAATGCCCTTGATAGGAGCCACTCGAACTGTCTGGGGCAATCAGATAACCATCGTTCTACGTCTGGCTAGAATGCCGTTCCTTCTTTTTCCAAACACCTTATGAACTATGGCCACCAGGTTGATATTTCTTCGACCTTCATAGTCAATCTCAAGGTCAGGTTTTCTATGGAGGAAAATGTTGATAGCTCGGGTAGCGTAGATGGTCGTTTGTTTGTTCGCTCAGCTGGGTAATTTGATTCCAAACGTTTCATTACCATCATCAGCGCGTTCTTAGAAAGCGTAGTGGTTGCACGCAGTAGTAGTACGCGTGTAACGGTGATACTACTGATCGGGAGGCACGCAAGTAGTATGTGTTGTATGTAGAATTTCGCTTCGCGTCGATGGAAAAAAGGAATTCTGTTGCGGAATTCGTGGGGCCACTTTGTAACATTTGCTTGGATTTGACCGACGAATGAGTGGAGGCAACTAATCTCTAAGAAAACTCGTTCGGGAGAAGATCTGTGTCCAGTTTTTGGAATTAAGATGCAGATTAGAGGTTTGCTTCCCTGTTCAATGGTCTGTAACTGGTCAGTTGGCATTCCCGAATAAACAGCTCCGCAGCGAAGGCCTTTTCCTTTCACTTGGTGCCGTGACCAGGATAAGGATGAAGTTCCCGTGGCCGCTACCCTTTGAGGATGGGGATGTTCGGACCTTCCTGAAGGACTTTGAGGAAGTGGCGGAAGCTGCCGGGCTGGAGTCCGACCGGGGTAAGTTGGCAGCGTTGAAGACCCTCCTCAAGGGCCGGGCGAAGGCGGACCTGGATGCGGCCAGAAGAGGCCAGAAGACGGACTGGGCCGCCGCGAAGGAAGTCCTTGAAGCGGAGTTCGACGCGCCGGCCGACCGCCAGGAGGCTATGAGGCGGTTCAAGACGGCCAGGATGGCACCCGGATCTGACCCGACCGTGTTCTTCGCCGGCCTGCAGCAGTTGTTGGATCGCGCTTTGCTGACGTTGGACGGAGTGTCGCGACACCAGTTGCTATCGGATCAGTTCGTCGAAGGTGTGCACCCCGCGTTTGGTGCCCAGTTGCGGTTGGCACGAGCAACTGGCCAGTTGAGTGTGGAGGAGCTGGTGCGTATGGCCCGGGAGCTGCCTGAGGAAACACTGGCCACGTTGCAGTCGCCGGAGAACAGGGATCGTTCATCAGTGGAGGAACTGCAGACTAGGGTGAACCAACTCACCGATCAGCTGGCGGCCATGAAGACGGAATCGCGGACCGATCAGCGGCCATGAAGACGGAATCGCGGAGGCACGCTCGATCCAGCCGGTGCTACATGTGTGGCAGGCCTGGCCACTGGAAGAATCAATCAG